AGTGCTTCCCACCTCAGTATACTTACTGTGACTGAGAGTATAGCAGGATACTAACAGGACCAGAAATCAGAAGAAAGGAAATGAAAAGTTTTTTGTCAACTACCCGTCACCATCAGGTATATAAATATCCTTCACATTTGAAAGCTTACTTCATCTCTACATAACTCTTTAGGTGCCTGACAAATAGTCTTATCTCAAGAAATGGAATGAAGAAATGAATGGAATAAGAGGTATTAATTTCCACATTTTTTGTTATCAAAATGCAGATGCATCAGTGACTTTGTGCTCAAGATTAGAAAAACTGTGACAAAAACAATGTTAAATGTACAGAAAAATTAAAAACTATGTTAGCAAAGGGAGAGAGGTTGTTACAATTTGCATCTACAATTTTAAACAGGTTCTTGGGTATGAAAATTACGCCAAGTGTGGCAGAAGTTAAAGTGAATGCCAAGATTGTTTTAGGGAAGCTCCCACATCTTTATATTCTTTACTAAATTTTAGCACTTAGGACCCTCGTGTTGCTCCCTTGCTATCCAGTGAACATTCAATTTAGTCTCCCCTCCCTGCAAAATATCATTCTGTGCACTCAGGACTAGCTTTCTTTGTGGTGTAACCAGATGCAAAATCACATATCCTTTCTCTATAATATTCAAGCAAACATTCTTTCCAGTACCTGATCTTAACTAAGTGTTAAAAAAAAGCACATCCAAAAAAACTGTTTCTTTAATGGTGAAATTCAGGAAGCCTAAAACAGAGAAGTTGAGCATTTCAGGCAATCTTAGGCCATAAGCTGGGGGTGCAATGACCTTTCCAATGACTCTTATGGCTTATAGACTAAGTTAGACTAAGTGATCACTGAAAGGCTAACCACAAAAAATCAATCAGCAAGCATTTACTAAGGTCCTAAAGTAGGTCAATCACTAAACTAAGGGCTAGGGATTCAAAGATAGATGGAAAAACAGTCCTCAACTTCAGCCTTTTCAATAGGCAGGAGAAAAGCACAGAGATGGTAGATGGAATGGTGTATGTGAGGAAAAAAGGAAGGCTAGGTATCACAGTGGATGGAGCATTGTGTTGGCAATCAGGAAGAATCATCTTTGGGAGTTTAAATATGGTCTCAGACATTTACTATCTCTGTGGCCCTGGGCACAGGGCCCTTACTCCTATTTGCTTCTGTTCTTCATCTGTAAAATGAGCTGGAGATGTAAATGGTGAACTACTCCAGCATTTTTTGCCAAGAAAACTCCATATGGGGTTATGAAGAATCAAATATGATTGAAACGAGAACTGAACAACAATATAAAAAAAGGCAAGACGGATATGTTAGCTGCACACTAGATTGTGTTAAGGTAGAGAAGATGTATGTGCACTGTTGCTGGAAATAAGGGCTGAGTACTCTTTCAGAAAGCATTTAAAAATCAAAAATAAGAGTTTATATATGATTGTATGAAAATTAGTGAGCCCTCTGGGGTTTAATGAGTGGAGAAGTGGCATTCTCAGTTTTGTGCTTTAGGAAAGCCAGTTTGGCAGAAATGTGATGGATGGAAGAAGGGAGAGACATGGGACAGGAACATCAATTAAAAGATACTGCTCTATTCTAGATAATAAGTGACAAGGGTCAGAACTAGAGTGGTGCCTGAGTAAATGACAGCAAAGGGACAAATGCAGGAGACATTGTGGTAATAGAAAGAACACTCTGTGAAAACTGATTAAATGTGGGGACAGCGATAAGGGTAACATGAAAAGGAGAGCGGTGAATTTATGAATCTGGGGACTGAAAGGATGATAGTACTCTTGAAGAAATAAGGAAGTTGAGAACCAGGGGGTCTGTGGGAAATGGGGAAGATAATGGGTGGATTTGAGACGTGCAGAGTTTGAGACAGCTAAAGAACATCCATTTTGCAAAGTCCAATACATGACACAATGCTAAAGTTTAAAGAGAAAGACTAGGGAAGACATATAGCAATGGGACTCATCATCGTAAGGAACATGAACAAACCCATGTGAAATAATATGGTCACTGAGAGAACATAAAAGGAAAGGATAGAAGAAAGCCTAAATCAGAACCATGGCTAAACCTAGTTTGAGGGCATGATGGGACGGTGGTGATGCAGCAAGAGAAATTAAGATTTAGTTTTCAGATATTAGGACAACCAAGAGAGAGCAGAGTAACAAAAATCCAGAGAGGAAACACTATAAAAGAATGAGAATGCTGAAGAATGTCAAATACTACAAAGAAGTCAAGAAGAATGAGTTTTTAGAAAAATCTATCAGATATAAACACTAATAAATTAATTTTAATTAACTGTAATTAATTAATGGTCATTTCAGTTGACTCATGAGGTCATAAGTCAGATAGTATGGGGTTTATAAGAATGAAAGAAGATACAATGGAGATAAAAAATAAGGATAGCATTTTTCTAAAACTTTTGCTGCGTACAGAAATATTATAGAGCCTGTTTAGGTGTTTTTAAGGGTAAGGGAAATTTTAGGTTCCAAAAAAGGGATGAGCAGTAAGGGAAAGCCTGAATATTAGAGAGAAGAGGCTGATAATAGAGGAAAAACCTTAAAAATGGGATGGAATCAAGGGTATATACATAGAGGATTTTACTCTTGCCAGGAGCAGGGCTACTTTAAATCTTCATCAGAGATTAGGGTAAAGCAGGAGAGAATGGGGCAAAATGTCAATTAGTTGTGAGTTGAAAAGAAGGGGAAAATAACTCTCAACCATAATGGTCTCTATTTTCTAAATGAAGTATGATATGAAGTCTTTACTTTTGCAAATGTTTGAGATAGAAGGTATGGGAGATATAAGGAGAGAAGATAAGTTTAGAAGCAACCAAGGTAAGGAATGGGATATAAAAATCAACATGAAAGGAACAAAAGGACTGCCTGGCTTAAATGAGGACCAGTTGCAATTATATGGCATTAATTGGTAGTGAATCCAGTCGGTAGAGTTTTGTGACTTTGCCCAGCTCTATCCAGCAGTACGTGAGTAAAATTAGAAGAGGTGGGTGGCTAAAGTAAGTAAAAGTTAGGGTTCAACAAATTGTAATCTTCAGTAAGACAAAACAGCAGGTGATTCAAGAGAAGAGATGAATATCCAGTTAAACTGGCTAATTACAAGGACACAATTAGGATGGGAAGAAAGTAAAATCAGATTAAGCAGGATTGCCAAGCAAATTGTGGAATGGTACCAGAACTGGAGGTCCCAATAAAAATCAAGAACAGGTTTCAAAAGGATAATTCATGGAAAAACAGGCATTTTAGTTAAAGTACAAGAACTTTGATTAAATTATACCTCTTGAAATCAATATTTGAATTCCAAAAGGTGTTTGTATGTAGAAATTAAATATTCCCTCTTTCTTGCCTTGCTCATCACTGCTTCTATGTTTGTGCTCATAACATACATGGAATATCTCCCCTTGAGCCTCAATTTTTATGCCTTTTGAAATCCAACACAAACTCTAAAAACTTTCCTACCAATTACATTGAACATGAAGCTGTCCCTTGACCTTGCCAGTCAGAAATAATCTGTCTCATTTTTGTCTGAGCTCTTTGTTATCCTCCCATGCACTTAATCCCATTCTATTTTCAGTTATAGTCATTTACATATGTTACATGTTCCACTGATAGACTGGAAACATCTTGATGCCTAGAGATGATTCATATTTTTAAACTATGCAGGTTTAGAATAGAGGCTTATACAGAGCAAGGCCTTGATAAATGTTTTGTCAAATGTTATGGTTGATCCACCCTTTTTAATTCCTTTGCCTCATGCCCAAATTCAAATGTCTACTTATATATAGCCTTATAGGCATAAATAATGGGTCTAAGAGGTATAGCTCAGGAAATAATTTATGACTATATAAGGATTTGTTTGAGTTCCAGGAGTGTTTTAAGTAGCACAAAACAAATCACAATCTACAGTGGTGTTTGGGGGTGGAGGGAGCAATTTTTCCATATTCTGCATTCTTCAAATCAGAAGAGATCCAACACAGAAGAGAATGCTTTGGGAGTTATTTTTCCACTTGAGGATAGACTTGCATTTCAACATGACTGGTCTGGGTTGGTGGTGGCCACCAGAGAGCGTGAAATTGAAAAGGCCATGAGGAAGATTATTCTGTGACACTACATTCATCTTCATAACATGTCTACTCTATTACGCTGATTGTAGTTTCAAAATGTCTTGAATAGTGAACTAGTCCAGGGCAGTGGACATCATTTAGAATCACTACATAATCTACATAACTCTCAGTCTTAAAGGATGGTAAGACAGTCATTTGTTTATGAACAGCATATTAAGGTATGCCTCAGCAAAGGAACCCAGAGGAGCTTGCAAGACAGCCTGAAAAGCAGGAAACCTGGATTAACATCTTGGTTCTGACATTTCTTCAATAATGACTGAAAAGCCATTTAACTTTTCTGAGCTCCAGTACCTTCTGCATAAATTAATAAAACACTATTGGAATAGTCTACATAAAAAGAGATCTTATAATGAAAGTACTTCATGATAATGAACATCATCCACTGAGAGAAATACAGCTGTTGCTAACAACTTTTTCAAGGTAAGGATAATGTTCAGAGATTTCTAGAAAATCTGGGATGTAGAAAAGCCTTAAAAATCATCTACTTGGGGGGTTCTTAGCCATTTTTTCTTTCATGGATCCCTTTGCTATCTGGTAAAGATCATGGACAAATTTATGGGAATCATTTCACTAAAAGGCATTAAAAGATGTAAGATTAAAATAGAAAAAAAAAACTACAGGGAAATACATTTATAAAAAATATTTTAGGTCCATGAATTTCAAGATTAAATCCACTGAAATAGCTCCATCATTTCATTTTAAAAATAGAAAAATTAAAGCAAAAAGAACTGTCATTTGTCCAATGTCACACAGTGAACCTGAACCAAAATTACCTGAGATGATGTTCTCATCATTTTGCATCTGTTTCTTTTCTCCATGCAGGCAGTAGAGAAAATCCTCTACCCCTAGAACATGGCCAATCTCACTGTGGTGACAGGATCCCTCCTCATGGGCTTTTCCAACATCTGGGAGCTACAGGTCTTACATGCAATATTCTTCTTGCTGATCTACCTAGTGGCTATAATGGGGAATATTCTTATTTTCACCCTCATTTCTCTTGATGGGAAACTCCATACTCCTATGTACTTCTTCCTGAAGAACCTCTCCTTTTTAGACCTCTGCCTTCTTTCCACCACAATCCCCAAATCAATTGCTAACTCTCTAACTCGCACCTGCTACATCTCTTTTTGGGGGTGTGTCTCCCAGCTCTTTTTAATGGTGTTATTCGTAGCATCAGAGCTTTTTCTCCTCACAATGATGTCCTGTGACCGCTATGTGGCCATTTGTCAGCCCCTTCACTATGAGCTCATCATGACTAGAGGGGCTTGTGTGAAGATGGCAGCTGCTTCCTGGCTCACTGGAGGCTTGTTTGGGGCCCTGTACTCAACTAGTGTATTCACTTTGCCCTTCTGTGGCTCCAAGGAGATCCACCAGTTCTTCTGTGATGTCCCTCCCTTGCTCAAGATCTCCTGCTCTGAAACACACCTTGCACTTGATGTCAGTGTGGCTTTTGGGATTGGTAAAATGGTTTTCTGCTCTATTTACATCACAATCTCTTACAGTCATATCTTCTCAACTGTCCTGAAGATTCCAACCAGAGAGGGTAGGTCAAAAGCCTTCTCCACTTGCCTGCCCCACCTCATTGTTCTCATGGTTTTTACCACCACAGCTGTCATTGCTTATCTACAGCCACCCCAGGAATCTGACTCACTTCTAGATCTGTTGTTGCCCATGTTCTATACAGTGCTGCCCCCAACCATGAACCCATTCATCTATAGTCTGAGGAACAAGGACATGAAGACTGCTTTGATGAAACTCATAGCCTGGGAATACTTCTCAAAGGGATTAATACCAAAATCTTTTCCATGAAAATATGACTGTGCACATATATTTACACATGTATAAACATATGTTTACATAGATACAGGTATTCATATATGTATATGTTTGAATTTATACACATTTATGTTTATATATATACATTTTATACATATTGGTATATCACTTCAATATGTGTTTACTGACTTAAATTCCTTGCTACCATGTCCATGTCAAGCTCACCAATTTTAAAGTGTTGACTTCCAGATTTTCTGGAGAATCATAACAATATGCTTTTAAAAGTATGTTCAGTCATTCTGGTCCTGAAAACAAAAGGCCATTAGTTTCCTGAAAAAAGGATACTTATTTGAAAATAATGTATATGAAGTTCCTTTGATCAATTTATGACAACTCTTTTCTTAACACATAGCTGCATAGAATGATAGAAAATATTATCTGACTTGAACACAGATGAAACATTTGACTCAGGGTGCCACAACTAACAGTGAAGCACAAAAAAGTCTTCATACGTTTATTTTGCTTTACAGTTCTTTGAAGTGATTTTACTATCCAATATTTGATCACCACAATAATAGCTAGAGATAATTAGAAGAAGTATTATTATCACCACTTTATATTTAATAATAATAAACATTTTCAAGATCTACAGTAAGTGATGGCATTCTGATTCAAGTGTTTCATCTATTCTCAAGCCAGATAATGTTTTCCACTATTCCATGTTGTCAGTTGTTAAGTAAAGAGTTAATATAAAATTGATGAGAGGATCTTCAAATATGTTGTTTTCAACTAATTTTATTTCAGAAAAGTGTTAGACTCCTGATTTAACCTTCAAATTTAGAACATAAGTACAGAAATCCAGAATTGGGAGGGACATCAAAGGCTATTCCTCTAGTCTAATCTTACCTGAACTTGACATCCATATTAAACACCCACCATTCATGGTCATCCAAATTTCATGTGAGTATTTTCAGTGAGGGAGAATAACTTCATGCAAAGGCAACCCATTCCACTTTTGCAGGTTTTAAATTGTTCAGATATTTTTCTCCCATTAGGCCAAATATTGCTCTCACTGCAATTTTTACCCACTGCTTATATTAGGAGCATGAAAGGGCAAATGATACACAAATAACTAAGTCAGTCATGTGTTCTGATCATACAAATCCATGATACATTTAATGTACAGAATCCCATTTAAAGAGTAAGATTCTTACAAGAGCAAAGTGTAACTTGATTTCTTTGTTGTCACTGTACACAGAAAAGACATTCTTTTTCTTATTAATTTGTTACCCCAGAGAGTATAGCTTTATGTCCACTTTGGAAGAAAGTAAATACATATTCAAGACCATACTTTAAGATGCTTGGCTAAGTCCATATATTTAATGTGTTTAAAGTTTTGTTGAACTTATATCCCTATAGAGGTCACTTAAATAAGAGAGGGGTCTTTATATTAAATCATTCATATTCAAGTATACATTTATGTATCCATCTATCTATCTATTTGCACACACACACACAACACACATGTACGCACACACACACACATACACACACACATACAATAGGTGGTAATATGGATAGAGTGCAAGGCTTAACATCAGGAAGACCTGAGTTTAAATATAGCCTCAGAAATTCCTTAGCTGTGTGATTTTGGAGAAGTCGCTTAACATTTCTTCGCCTATGGATTGGTGACCCACTGGAAAAACAAGTGTCAAACCACTCCATTGTCTTTGCCAAGAAAACCCCCTAAACTGAAGTCCATTGGGCCATGAAGAATTGGACATGACTGAATGAGTAAACAACATATATTTAATGTTATGTGCAAGACTTTATTAATATATACTATATAATTACATATGAACACACTATATTATATGACAATGAATATTAAAGATAGATTGATAAACAAAAGATATAATTTGCTTATTTGTTGAATATAGTCATATCGGGGCAGCTAGGTGACATAACACTCACTAGCTGTATGACTCTGGGCAAGTCACTTAACCCCAATAGCCTCACCAAAAAAAAATTATTTATATATATAGATATAGATATTTGGGGGGCAGTCAGAAGGGATGGTTTTTGCACCATTCCTGAATTGTTTTAATGGCACTCCTTGTCTAGGCTTCCAATTACTAAAAAACAAAAAAACTTAAAAAAACTTTTAAAAAGTTATCAAACTGAAGAAAAGGGGCACCTACAAAACCAGCCATGGATCCAATGACTGGCCCACTTATACCTACAACATCCAAAATATCAAAGTATGTATTTGAGAATGGAGACAATAAATAAACCCTTGTCTCTTAATCAGTTAAAACACTAGAAAGACCAGGAGATGGGAAAACTAAAAGAGATGAGGTAGATGGGAAAGTATTCTCCAGCCAGACAGTAATTTAAAATAAATAGATAATTAAATCTGTGATATTGCTCTCCTTTGAATGGATACAACAAAATTAGTAACTTCAGTCAGGTGATAGGAATCAGATGCTATGGGTTCCTCCATAAGCTGAAACTAGAATGCGTCCCACACTTGAAAGTGACAAAAGAAAGTGGGGATGAAAGTAAATGTATTCTTAGCCCCCCTTGTCAATTTGAAATTTAGTCATCTACATATATGAGACTCCATATATTCTTGAATGAACTTCACTAGGATTTGTTGAGAATTACTTTGTTTTTCTTTTCTTTCACTTTCCTAATGTGGTTACCTGTTTGCCATATACCAATATAAATCATGATTGACCGTTAGATATCTCCTTACCCCCTTACTCCTCTCTTAACCCAATCATAAATCACTGCCTGAAAACATATGTTAAATTGAATTCATCAAGGGCGCTGCCCTTATATTATTCCTGTGACAATATTTTCTTTCGAGGAGCTCATCTTCAAATAAGGGAAGACCACCAATAACAGAATTCACATGCAAGTGAGATGAAAAAACCTAGTGGTCCTTAGATTAGAAAAATAAGATAGGTGGTAAAACATCTTTTTTACTGTGATTTCCATTTATAGAACCATATCCATTTCTGATATCACATCATTTGACAATGCAGAGGTGGATAACTAATAGATATGGCTACTGAAAAAAACACCTTTAAAAGGAGTTTTCTGGTCTCTCATCCACAATTGTAATTCCCTGGATGACAGCTGTAGGGACTGGGCTTGAAACAGAGGTGGTCTAGTGTGATACTGTCTCTAGGATGGTTGAGCTCAAATTCTGTGTCTATCTCTATCCAAGTTTGAGAGGAAAAATTGATTGACAAAGGGGCGGTAGTTTGACTTGCCTGGCACGTGAAGTCTCCTATCTCTGTCTGTACTTTCCTGCTTCAGATAGACTGTCTGCATAATCAGTTGCAAAAACTTCCCCTTTGTTTGATCCCTTCTCTCCATTCACACAGGTATCACCTTAATTCAGGCTTTCGTCACCTCTAGCCTAGATTACTGCAATAGTCTCCTACCAAGCCTCCCTGATTCAAGTCTCTCATCACTCCAGAACATTCTAAGCAGTACTGACAAAACAATTATACTAAGAGCAAATCTGACCATGTCACTGTCCAACTCAATGAATTCTACTAGCATCCTATAAGCTCAAGTATAAAATATAAACTCCATTATTCAGCTTTTAAAGCACTTTAAGAACTGGCTTCACATCCATCTTTCCTCTTTAAATATTACTCCTTATCACACTTTGATCAGCTGAATTGACCTTCACTCTGGTCCCCAGATCTGTGCCTTTACACTGAATATACTACATGTCTTAAATGCAATTCTTCATTACCTCTGTGCCTCAAAGACTCTCTTCTCTTTCTTTATGGTACAGAACAAGCAACATCTTCTGAAGCCTTTTCTTATCTCCCTCATCTGCTGATGCACTCTATCACAATATACCATACATTTACTGACCATTTGTAATTTGTTCTTTATCTTTTGGGCTCTATCTTTAGAACACAAGCTTTTTGAGACTAGGGGTTGCCTCATTCCTTGCACTTGTGTCCTTAAAACTGAGTAGTTCTCCTTGCACATAGTAGGAATACACTAAATACTTCCTGAGCAACTGGCATCATTTCTCTTGCCTTCTAATCTACCTGAATTTTAATGGTCATTTTTGTGGGCTATAGCCAAACCTGTTGCTTCTATATCCTCTTTGAACAACACGAGGAGCTTGAAGTTTCTGAAATACCAAGCTTCCTCTCTTCCTCCTATCCAATGTAGTATTATTTCCTTTGTTGTTCTTCAATTTCACCTTTCTCAGAAAAGTCATCACAGGTGAAAAGGAAAGATTCTCATCATCATCTTTATTATTTAAACACTAGCTACAGAAAAACAGCAAGACAAATAAATTACTGGATTATTGATTAGAGGAGAGGAAAACATATGTTATAAATGATTATTCATTGAGGGACCCCTAGATAAGCTTTTAAAAACTAAGAAGTTAAAATAATATACACCTTCATTAATGTAGCAGAACAAAAATATAACTCTAGAAATCATCTGTATTTTCATTTGAAACTAACAGGCTTAAGGGAAATAAGATCAATCTCAAAGATTTCTTCAAGAATTGTATCTCTTTGGGGCAGCTAGGTGGGACAGTGGATAGAGCACCACCCCTGGAATGAGGAGGACCTGAGCTCAAATCTGGCCTCAGACACATAACACTTAGTAGCTATGGGACTCTGGGCAAGTCACTTAACCACAGTTGCCTCACCAAAAAATAATAATAACAATAATAATTATATCTCTTTGAATTAATTTTCCCATGTATTTATTTTCCAAACCATAGTTCATACTCAAATATCTACAAATGTAGTTAAAAAGAGCAATGGTTTCCATTCACTCACTCAAGGTAACCATACATATCTGATATAAGGAAGCCCTTTTTGCACTGAACTGAAAACAGGACAAGCAAAAGAACTCATAGTAGGTCACAGATAAATACAATTCGCTCCCCTCCCTAATGAGTGATATTTTTGCTTTGGCCTTATACAGTTCTTAGATTCAAAATATGGAAGGTAGATACAAGATAGCACAGCAGCAGG